GCAATTTTACTATGAAATATAATTTGAGTAATCACCATCATCATCCTTACAGCCCATCACAAGCTCACGGCTGAACATAGGCCTCCCCCAGTAATGCCACAATGCAAGGTCCTTAGCCATCAAGTTTCTTCACCTCTCTATGTCCTTACTCCATCCAGTGGGAGGCCGCCCTACACTTCGCTTACCGTTACGATGTTGCCGCTATAAAACAGATCTTCCCCATCGGTTGTCGGTTTATCGAGTTATATGGGCACATGAGTTTATGAGATATATTAAATATTACTTTGTCTTATCGGAACAGTATTCGAAAATATGACTCAGAGTACAAAGTTATATTTGTTACAGCAGCTCATCATAACTGAACATGTTTTTCCCATAGGTTAGGTTGGGTATATTGACCATATTTGCATCGCTTGGCAAGGGTAATTAATATCCGTATAATTTTTGTCAGAGCAATTTTAATTGTTTTAATTTCTTTTCTATTATATTATGTATTATATTATTTTATGATGCCTAGAAAAATCAGTTTCGTAATACTAGTATTATAAGCAGTTTCGAATTTCCTAACTTCTGCACCACCTGAGAATTGCATTTCTGTAAATATATATATAGCTGAAAGCATTTACCGATTTAAAAAAAAATAAAAACGATACCTGAAGACAGACGCATTATATTATGTAAGTCGATGGATGTCCTAAGTTGTGTGGCACTTTTTTTATATATAATAATGACAAACAAGCACACAGTCCACCTAATGGCAAGTGGTGAATTAGCCACAAGCAGAAGTATAAGTAATGTAAAGTTTGTGTGTGGGAATACGCCTACATCCATGACCAATGTCGCTTCGGTTGGAGATTTTGCTTCAGTAAATTAATTGGTTTAATATTCAATCAACAAAGTGACCTATTGTTTCAGCCATATTTGCGCAGACAATAGGAAAAATCTGCTGCACAAACGGTCGCTACAATTTTTGTGACATTTTTTATGACATTTTCATTTGACAATACACTGGTTAACCTTTTAATATATAACAACAAAACGTCCAAGTTTAAAAAGTTGCAACGTCAAATACTAAGGATTTTTTTTATCAAAAACCCTTTTATTTATATATACAAGAACGACACAAATGTACTATTTACTTTTAAATTAACTATGTAATACGTTTTTATCTTCTTATTTTATTAAATATTCCTATTGATTTTAATAAATAGGAAAGCTTAAGCAGTATTGAGGTAAATTAGCGAAGAATATGGTTTATTTAATAAGGAAGCGTAATGTGATATATAAAATCTTGACCATCAGCCAGACGTGCGCCAATTGCCTCGAAAAGATCCTAAAGTCGTTAGGATTGTTCCTCATTTCTCACCGATTGGAGAGTATGGAAATAGAGAGTACACTTGGGTGCATTATAATCCTGTCTTGCGCAGGTGGCTATTCTCCGTTAACACTGGTCGCCGTAACCAAAATTCGGCCTGACTTATCTAGCTATTATAACTATATAATGTATTTATATGTATATACACATACATGTATATATATAATACATGCATAAGCAACCTACTAAATGTCAATTTACTACATTTTAAAAGCTTTCGGTGTCACTCTGGTCGTGTGAAAGTCGGTGTTGTCCCGACAACTAGATGCGTTGTGTGTGACACTCTAATTTCCCCTCTCAGTTACACTATTTACGAATCTGTCAGGCTTTAAATTAAATTATGGATCTGTTGGTTGATAAAAAAAATATTTGATATGTTTGATTTGATTGCGAAATATTGAACTTAGTAAACATGATACTTTTATAATAGCCCCGGTGAAATGAATTACTTTTAATAAGAAATAAAAAGATAAAATTATTTCACGTTTTGATGATGGTGATATTATTTAATTTTTTGGTTCTTTTTACTTTATATATAAGTTAATTCTTTTATCCTTTTCAGTGGATTACATAATATTATAATTACAAGTTCTATTTTACCTTCTTGGAGGTAAGTTTTTTCCCCAAATATATATTATAGTCTCAACATATCGAGAATAAATGTAGATGTCTATGGGCCACAGCATCCACTTACCATCCGGTGGAATGTTTGCTCGTTTTTCACCCTTATTCTATAATATATATATTTCTGTAAGATGTAATATATCACATTACGCTTCCTTATAAAAACCATACTCTTCACTGATACACCGCAATACTGCTTAAGCTTTCCTATACACTAAAGGCTTGGTTTGGTACTTTTGGGACTTAATGAGTATCTGGGAGAAACTTATAAACTAATTAGGAAATAACAAGATACGACGACTGCATAGACGTTGCACTGCGTCAAAAGGGAATTACAGACTACTAGTAGCATCAATAATCTTATTAAATATATTTTGATGGCTTAAAATAACTGCATTATTTTCTTACTCTACGTGAAATTTTTGTAATACAATGCATTTTTTTAGTTTCACATCCGAGTATGTTTAGTGTAAATTACCATATAATTTTCAGTTTCTAATTTTCAGTTTCATTACCTATAAAACATGTAATTTTACTCACAGCAAAACTTAATTACTCTGCGAGCTTATTTTTCCTTTCTTTGTGATCCCCGTTTAAGCTTTGAATAAACCGTTATTCAAAGGAACATTGCTGAATACACAAGCTTAGCAAAATACACAAGAAATAGCGGATAACTATGATTTATAAGAAATAAATATAACGTAGCTTGTATTACTTGAAAACTAAACAAATAAAGTTATAAGGAATATCACAAATGTATTGACGGTTTATTAATATTAATTTTTCCTCTTACTGAGACCAACATAATATCTAGATGGCCGGAACGCTATAGTTTGTTAAATATTATTAGGGTGAAGGAATGTACTTTACGCTTAGTTATTTAGATTGTATTGACGAGTTTATTGGAAAGTACAGTTATTTGAATCTAAAAACATACAACATCCATTCATCCATAGGTCCACTGCTGGATATAGGCCTGTTTCATAGATTGCCACAAAGATTCTGGGCCACCGGAATTCATCGACTTCCTGCATATCTTACCAAGGCGTTTGGGGAGTACTGGACTCCGCCCTAGAATTTGCTCACCATTACTATATTATCAATCGAAAACTTTTCTTCCCCGTCAGTTGTAGGTTCTTCGAGCTATATGACCGTTGTGGTATGCTTACTCTGTTCCTACTGCGGCTGTTCTCGTTTCTATGACTATCGCGCAGAGAAACTCTGAGCATAGCCCTTTCCATAGCTCGCTGAGCGAATTAAAGCTTACACATATGGCCAGCAGTGAAGGACCACGTCACGTCACACTGCACCTTTCATGAAGAATAAATAGTACTCAGTAAACATCAACATTTTTACGGAGTTATTTTTGTTTTGAATGGAACATGGTTAAGCCTGTACTTTTTCTTTGTATTATAAAAATGTAATAAGAAGCAAAATTATATTAAAGAAATTAGTTTTTAAATAAACTTTGCATCAGGATATTCAACTAAATTCTCTAGAATTTTGTTTTACATTTTACATTTTGTTAAGAAACGTTTTTTGGCTAATCTGATAATGGAAATCAATTCAAGTAGGTACTATTTAAAAATATTACGAAACACAGCATTATCACAGCTTAATACTGCTGTGTTTCGTATGGTCAGTGTAGAAAAGCGGAGAACCTTTAGAGATGCCTCTGCATTTTGATTCTTAATCGAGGGTAAAGGTAGATGTCTACGAGGGCGGCACTTAAAATTTCGGGAATCAAGGAAGTAACACATTAATATTTAAAAATATATTTATTGCTTTTCGAAGTATTCTCCGCGAAATTTGACACATTTTTCCATCGTATGTAACCAATTGTTCATGCAAGATTATTTGTATTTAACTCATGCCAATGTCTAAAGTTGCCTGAATTTCGCTGTATGTCACATGTCGATCTTCCTCAATCAGCTTACGCACAGCATCAACGTTTTCTTGGGTGACTGCAGTTTTTGGACGACCTTGACGGGGATCATCACTTAGCTTGACACGTCCACGTTGAAATTCAGCAAACCAGCGATAAATTGTGGTTTTGGATGGGGCTTCATTACCAAATGCAGAAATCATCCGGTCAACACACTGTTTTTGTGTTAAACCACTTCGAAAGTCATAATAAATCATCGCTCTTGAATTTTCTCGAGTCAATTCCATTTTCTCAACGACTAAACAAGTTTGACAAAATCTTGTGACAAGACCGAGAATCTTTTTTTAAATAAATAAATGGTATTCGATTTTTAAAACCAAGGAGTTTTCAATTAAAAAGATTTTAATATGACAGGAACAGTGGAAATATTCCATTTCCGATACTTTTAGTGCAGCCTAGTACGGGCCACAGCATCCACTTATCATCAGGTAGACTGTGTGCTCGTTTGTCATCTTTACTCCATAAAAGAAAAACAATGATTACTGATTGTGTATATCAGTAATTATTGTTGAGAAGTAGTTTAAGTGTTTTTTTACGTATGTATATTTGATTCATTGCAAAACAAGCATAACTCATTTAATACAAGCTTTCGGTGGGCGCTTCCAAATGAATCTTAAAATCAACTGTAATTCTCAAAATCACGGCCGATTTTCTAAGATTCATTGTTTGCCTCTCAAGCTGTAGCAGCGAGGAGTATTATACAACGTAACTTTATTAAATTTACGCTGTATAATGCTCTCACTGCAAATTATTACATGCCCAACACTAAGAAACTTTACCTAGATTTATCAGCTCTAGTAGCTGTTCTAAAATACATCTTATAAATATTAAAAAAAATTATTTCTCCAGATATTGGTATTTTTAGTTTGAATATAATTTAAGAAAATACGCAAGGATCTACTATATAATATCAGCGGCAGAAGATTAAGACAAGCGACGTTCTTAAAAAGTAATAATTTACATAATTCACATTTTGTAATTGCAAACTTTATGATTGCCAAAACTTAATGTGTCCCGCAAATTGTGAACTTCGTTCAGTAAATACAATCTACTTACCAAGGACTTCATCACAGGGCTGGCTAAGCGGTCGTCGGGAAGGTGAGGTTTTCTGTTGCGGAGGCTGCTGAGGTTGTGGCTTTAGCACGTGGGCCGGCACGGCGCCCTCCTGCGGTGGCTCGCCGGGCGCGCGCACCACCCACCAGTCGCTGCGGCCCTGCCACGGTTCCACCACCTCCACTTGTTGTCCTTTGGTCACTGTGAGCTCTCCATTAGAGGTGGCGGTATGCTCTGCTACCACCCATGTCATCTCTGGGCCAGCCTGTGAAAAAAAAATTATCAATAACCGCCTTAAGTGTTTCTTCCGCAGATAAATATCAGAATAATAATTTATAACAAAAAACAAAATGGAAGTGTCTGTTTGTAATGTCAAATAACAGCTCTTTACTAAATGCATATGAAACTATATACCGTACCGTTTTTATATTAAAAAAAAAATTAAAATTTTTGTTTCTCTGTCTGTTTGTAACGGCTTAAGCGTAATAAATTCCAAGCGAATGAAGTCTCCGAGTACAACTAGTTTTAAACAATTGAAAATGTTGAAGCATTTTTACATTTTATCAACCATCGAAGAATAAAAACTACACATCGGATTCCTCTAACGTTACTCTGAAGTTTGCCATTCATACGCTTAAATTAGAGAAAAGGGATCCGCGAATAACTAATCAAAATTTTTCTTTCTTTGTCTTTGCACAACGGCATACACTTAGTAGCTAATGGACTGTGTGATCATTTGTCACCCTAATTAATTAAAAAAATACCATTATAAAGATTTGGACGATATTTATTATGAGAATAAACCAGTGAACAATAAACACCTGTCGGTAAATGTTGAAAAAATATAATTAGAAGCAAACAAAATCTATGGCAAACTAAATTTAATATATTATTTATAATAATCTTCATTGGCATAATATCAGGTTATAAATAGCCTATGAAACCTCTGAATCCTAAACTATGTAAGAACCTGTATGTTAGGATTGAGCGCCTTCGCCCATGTTTCTTAGACTAATTAATTTATGTCAAAACAATTTTCTAGTAAGTTTCCAGATTAACATAATAACAGTTACACTCAAAAAATATTATTATACAATTTTTGGGGTGCATACATAAGTAACATTATATGCTTCACCTATTTCAGTGCTTTTTCAGTTTCCACATAGTTTAATGTAACTAGCCAATTCCTTATTTTAGTTTGACATTCGTGAAGTGACAGTGGATAAGAATTTTGAATTTTATTAAGCTTATTATAAAGGTATCCAGAAAGAAGACTTCTTTGACGCCTTGCTAATGCAGTATGGCGTCTTAGGAAATCAATTTGATGTGATGATGTGGTGAACAAATAACTGCCTAATAACTGCCTTATTGTGAGAACTTGACACAGGGGAAAATTTTGCCTTCGTATAGTGAAAAGAGGCTGGGAGCGAGCACACTGCCTTGTTAACAGTTAACAGCTATGCCTGAGCTGATGTGTTTGTTTATTTTAATTCTTTGCTAACAACCCATAAGAAAATCCGTTAAAATTTTAAGCATCGTCCCTTTCATGTCTTTGTCCACAAGTATAGGGATAGCGACAGTGTCAACTGCTCTGGCAAGATCAATAAAAACTCCAACACACTTTGGTTTGTTATCGAGACTTTCTGTAACGTACTCTACCAAAGACCAGACGGCTCCGTCTGTAGTTTTTACCACTCGGAAACCAAATAGGGAGTCTTAAATAATGTTATTTTGTTCCAAGAATTTTATCAGTTGGTTATTATGGATTTTTTCACACTTTTTTGATAGTGCTGGTAGAACAGAGTAGGTCTATAATTTGATACACTGTCTCGTGCCCCACTCTTGTGGACAGGTGTAATGAGAGCTCTTTTAAAAAGTTGGGAAAACGCCTTGCTCAAAACGCAATTCAACAATGATGGTGTAGACCGGGGCTATGATGTGTTTTATCAGCTTAATGAATTTATTTGATATAGAGTCCCAGCCAGCATTATAATTTTTAAGACTCATCATCAAGAACTCAATTTCCCTTTCATCTGGTGGGTCCCTGCTACGCGATATTTTAAAATCATTTGTGCTGTCTCGGGAAGTGCTTAAAGATTGTGAAATAATATTGTCCGCTAGTAGTTTCCGACGTTTGCAAAATATCTACTAGCATCTTCAACGGCATAACAGGGGTTAGCCTGAATATTTAGCAGATTATCTGCAGGGGCTTTCTGTTTATTAGAACTCGTAATAGATTTAATAATAATTTAATATAATAACACATATTAAACATTAAGTACCTTTTACTTTTACGCCTTATAAATTTTATAATATTTTTATTAAATATAAGATTTCTGTCTAAAATGTGTTGTCCATTTTGTTTTTATTTCCTTTAGCAAATAATAATATACATGAATAAAGTACAACAGCGTACTCATTAAATTCCTATAATTATGTAACGTTCGTAAAGTAACACAAAAGAAAAACTTTTTGTTTATACAATGAAAGTCAGAAATTTCAAAGTAATTTACGCATATAAAACATCATTCAAATTAGTTTAGCTCAGTTCAGTCAGGCTTTTATATTCGAGAACAGCGCGATTTATAAAAAGTCACTACAAACGTAGTAAACACAAATGAGTAAAAATAAAAAAATTACATAATTTTGTGCATATACCGAAATATATTAGATATTAAAAGTGCTTAAAAATTAAAGTCAAGAATTTCGATGCGATTAATACTAGTACATAATATAAAAGCACCTTAAAATTAGGGCTAGTGACAGGTTTTTACTAATTAAGAATGTATAGCGCAACTAACCTTATACACCTACATCATGATTCATGGAGCATTTTAGTAAATTTTAGTCAAACAAAAAAAAAGTTAATAACTTGACTGCAGCGCCACCTATCGGATCCTAGCAACTACAAAACCTGGTCACAGCAAATATATTGTGTAAATAAGACCTCAAATGGTCATCGTATATAAGTTAACACAATTAATAACAGTCGCACCAACGAATATAGACAGTAATGAAGTTAGGATATCTTCATCCTAATAATTATTCTTACCTTCAGGTAACTAATTGCAATAAATAGAAGCGTCCAGAGATGACGCACGACCTGGGATCGATGCTAACACGACGGACGAATAGATAACCGAATTTATCAATATGCGATAAATACCGATAACCTAGCGTTTAGACTATATCGCCTACGCAGCAATACAAGCTGTCTATTTGCACTGCTCGTTTTATACACAACGCAGACAAATTAAAATTCCTTAAAATTAGATAAGAAGAAAGGTACGAATATATATATATATATATATATATATATATATATATATATATATATATATATATATTATAATTGGGTAAACGTCTCGAAGCCGGCTCAACTCAACGACATTGCACTCAATGTATTCACAATGAACGGGGTCATTTATGATAAAAACTCAGTATAAACACGATATTCAAGCTAAAAGATGAGTAGACCGCAATATAATATCTGACATATACATAATACATATAATATATACGTGGTAGAGCCATGTTGCAATTATATTATGATTGTACTACGAATGGGTCGTCTTGACCGGAAAAAGATCACACTCTCACAGAATACAGGCGTGAAAAAGCAGCTTAATGCTGCTGTGTTTAGTATGGTGAGTGAAGTGAACATGAGACGGTCATAGCTGAAAAGGAGAAATTTCATCTTAGTCCTCAGAGGTGTCGCCTCTACATTTATACGCATTCTACATTTTGATTCTTAATCATTCATTAAAAAATGTAAATGTCTATGGGCCACAGCATCCAGTTATCATCAAATGGACCGGGTGTACGTTCTCAACTTGACTCATTAAATAATTAGGTATACTACACATAAATACACTACGTCTTGCAGTGGTATGCTTTGGTTGGGTTAATTTTATTAATTATGGGATCTAAAGTACCTGGTAGTGCCCAAATGTTGAAATTTTTAATTTATTGAAAAGGACGTTTTGATTTCGCTGTTTTGGATCGTTATTGGTATCACAGTACTTTTGAATCTAATGTTATGAGTAATGACTGGAACGATCACGAATAGAATGAATAGAATAATTTTTAATTCAATATAGATTACAAGTAATTCTTATTGAAAGTCAATTTAAACAAAAACATCTTTCCCGGGAAGAACCAGCAAGAACCCAGCGAGACTTTTTTTAAATTTACAATGTCAATGGTCATAAAATATTTACAAAATTTATTTCAGAAACAGCTTGGAAGCGACCACCTCATTCCCAGGGGTTATTATCAAACATGTATTCATTTATATCATAATAACCGTTTATATACAGTTTTTGTTTAATATAAATATTTAAACTTATTAATAGTCTCTCCTTGTATATTTTTAGAATATCAGAATGCAGACTTTCCGGAGCGTCGGTGCCAATCCAGGCAGTCTATAAAATTAGTTTAACAGTACGAGTAGTTTCTGCCTTATTTTTATAAGGGCTACATTAAAAATAAACACGTATTATAAAATGTATGTTTTGTATTACAGTACATAGAGAAATTTATAAATTTACAGCATTCAATAAAATTAAAAATAAGTTATACTAGCTGTTACAAGGGTGTACGCTAGGCTAATTAAATTAGTAATAATTGGAACCAATTATTATTATTATTAAAACTTAACTGTAACTTTCATAGCCCGTCCATAATAAGATGCAATAATTGGCACTCTTGGCAAGGATAATACACCCATACGATGGATCTAGCTCGGCTGGGCTTCGTTAGGGAAATTGTGAAATTTTCTTGTCCGATATTATCCAGAACCTTCAGACGAAAGTTAGTGTGACTTATGGAAACGAAACGTGGTCCTTCATTGCCGAACATACGAGAAAATTTAAAATCACTAGAAATGGCTATGCATGGAATTTCTGTGGTGCTGGTTAGTATCCATAAAGAGGATGTCCGCAGAAGAATAAGAGTGACTGGCATTTTCCGACTAGCTGCTAAAACGTGATTGAATGACAAAAATGCAAATAAACACTTTCACATCTAACAACTATAACATCATTAAGATCTTTAAAAATTTTGTCTTATTCTTGACAATCACTAATGTAAATTCAATACATTCAACACTTGTACGTTTGTGTACTACTTATAATATAAAAGTTACTAAGCCACTGCTTTTCTTTGGAAAAATATGAATTATTTAGGCTACTTAACATTACTGATAGAGTATCAGTAATGTTAAGTAGCCTAAATAATTCATTCATTTAAACACTCCAGGTAAGC